ATGATTGCAGAAACTATTCCTGAGCATAGTTCAAGTCCGTACATGTAGCTCCTAAAAGCATCTGAACGCGCATCATTTAGTAATGGTAAATACTTTCCTCGTACTTTAGAAACGCGGCAGCTGGAATGAAAACAATTAAGCAACACGGAGAGGGGTGTGAATGGCGAGGGGAGGTAAAGTGGTAAAGTGGTGGAGGAACCTCACTTTCAGCGTCTATTGTGAAGTAACCAACCAAAAACGTCGTGACATAATATTTATCTCGGCCAATAGAGGACTGATGAAGAACAGCAGTCGACGCGTTCAGACACTAAAGCTAGTTTGCTTGCACCTTGCCTCCTCCCGAAAATTTCTGCACCTGTTTTGGAATTGGGGCACCCCCGCTTTGCCCTCTGGCAAAGACAGTCTTTAGAGAACTGCCTAAAAATTAAAATTTGGCAAAATCCGTTTTTATACTGGCAACTTGGATTATGGTTATGAATTATAACAGAACGATGGACTCAAATTTGTTTTTTTACGAACTGTATTGGTCAACCTCTTTTTGAAGTGAAACATTAAAGTAACATTTATTTCTGCTTAAATCGCCTTGTAAGTGGCGTCTTATGACGGTGGACGTGTGACCCGCAGCACCTGGCGAGCTAATTGCGCCAATTTAACAATCAATACGCCTATGACGGCCATAGACGTACAGAAGCGTACGCAAGGGCGGCAAGTGGATCTACACCTTCAGGTGCAAGTGAGTAGTTTGTTAGTGTTTCGAGAAGAGACAAGTCAACGCCATCGTCAAGTTTAGTTAAGTGACTAATATAAATATGCATCGTTGCATAGCAGCTAACGAACGTGTTGGCTATCTGGACTAATGCAGTTAACGGTGTGTCGTGCTGTTAAAATCCAGTACGCATCGAATTTTTCCGCGCGCTGTTTCTCTGTGGACGGAGGACGTCCCTAGGTTGTCTTCAGCAGGATGTCTATATTTGGTCTTCTCGTTTCCTCTAGTGTCTCCTGGATGTCTCTGTAGTGTCTCCTGTAAGAAGTCGCTATAGTGTCTCCTGGATGTCCTCACGAAGTCTCCTCGCAGTCTCTGCGTTGTCTCCGGGCAGTCCCTATAATGTCTATCGGTAGTCTGCTCGGTGTCCGCGGGCTCGCTTTAAGATGTCTCTTTTTGGCCTTAAAAGGTCCTTCCTAGGCTGCATCAGCTTAAGCGGGAAGTAGACAGCAAACAGCAGACAGCAGATAGTAAATACCGATAATTTCAAAACTATAAGTTCAATTTTCGTTATGAAATCTTATTTTTATCATTCAAATATTATTCTCTGAACTTAAAAAATACAAATATGCATACAAATCGGGTGTAAATCGGGAGATGCTGTTCGCTGTCGTGCTGTTCCGGCAGCTCCGACAGCATCTCTCGATTTGACCTGATTTGAGCACAAATTTATAATTTTAAGTTCACAAACTAAATATGAGAAACCAACGAAAGATTTCATGCTGAAATATTGATGAAAATTGGTAAAACCGCCGGTATTTACTATCTGCTGTCTGCTGTTACGCTGTTAGTGCGATTTTCTACGTCTTTAGTGCACCCATGGGTGTACAATTCCCCCTCGTTTTAAGATAAATGCAACTTTCGTGTGGCAGGAAAGGTCTTTTTCGGAGCTCAAAAACCGACTGCAGGCGTGGTCAAAAATAAGCTGATTTTATTGCAGAAAATGAAAACTAAGCTCTTTGCCTTT